TACCATATCATCAGTTTCATTGTCTTTTGAATTTTTAACTACCTATTAAGATTTAGGACTGAATATTACGCTGATCAACATCTGTCACGTCAATTAACATTTATAAATTATTACCTACTAGATTGATCATCACTAATCTCGTTTCAGAAACTTTCGATCTTATCCTTCTCGGAGACATTATTGAAACCCAAACTATCATTATTTACAACAGGTTGATCCACAACTTTGAAGTAGTTTTTTTTGTAATGGACTGTATCAATATATTTATTTAATTTTTTAACTTAAAAAATTATAATTGCTCTTTTTTTAGGAACGATGAATGAATTGATTTTATAAATTGATGTGCGTTTTTTATTTTTTTTTTTGTCAGTCATCTCATTTTAGGGGATTATGAATGCTTAGATTTTCTATTTAAGAATTTTTTTTTTGTTAGAAAAATAAATACAGTTAGTACCTACTATTTTTGCTAAAAGTAAAAATTCACAGTAAACAGAAACTCAAAAACGAATAACTGTAGATACCTATTCGAAACTTTTCACCAAATTTTCACCAAATGGTTATTGCAAAATTTTCTATACACTGTAAAATTTTTAAAATATATGTTGACTCTCTATTTATAGACATTTGAAATTTTTTCAGAATTTTTCGCTTGGTTAAACAGTTAGAAATTTTAATACAAGTTTCTTTAAATGTAGTACTTATAGATGTAGAAAAAAATTAAAAATATATAAGTAATCTGCAAATTTTTTATGGTTATTTTTATTTTGAAATTGGACGAAATGATATTCTACATTTTAGTGATTTTGTTGTTATTTAGAAAAAAAATTCTGATATACTTGAAATATTTTATGTATATTATTACAAATTAATTCAACCTACTGTATTACTATTAGTAAATTATTTAATTGCTTTAATAGCAATATAATAAATAATATCATATAGTATGTTTTGTAATATAGGTTGACAGACCGTCTTCGTTCAGAATCGGTTTTCCTATACTATGATATAATATCATTCAATTCAAATTTAACACATCCATCACAGTGACCCATAACGACACAGCCCAAGTAGTACCGTAATTTCAAATTAAATATTTTAGATTCTGAGCGGAGCGAGGAAGCTAGTGGTTTTATAATGGTGTTTTTTTTTTTTATCCTGTACACAAAAGTTCAACCAGAAGAAGTTCTTCGATTTCAATATATAGTACCTTATCTTTTAGAAAATTGGATCAAGTGGTGCCTTTAGAGAGGTCCTTTTTCGATTTTTTCAATAGTTATTTAATGCCACGGGAAAAACTACCGTCAAATTACGAAAAACAGCAGAAAAAATGGGTTTTTAATTTCTAACGCTTTGTGTATCACCATAGCAACGAATAAAAAAAAATATTATAATATTAATTCAACATACAGACTATAATAAATAATAACAATATAAAAAATCCAGACTGACAAGCCGTCTCCGCTCAAAATCGTTTTTCTTATACAATGATATTATTATATTATTAAATTCAAGTTTAATACAATCCATTATACACTGACCCATTTGTAACCTACTGTACAGAAGAGCGACATCCACTGACCCGCTTATTGTTTTATTATTTTTTGAAAATTTAAAAATTAATTTAATATTTTGTCGCATTTTTTCATTGTATCAAATTATTGCGTCGTATAATATTATATAACATACCTAAATAAATAAACATTTTGAAACAATTTTACTCCATGGTATGTGTTTTAGAATAAAGTAAATTTGAGTTTACACCAAATTTGATAATTTGTCCATTTAAAATGGACTTTCTTGAGGTTGGCCCTTACACTTTCCTATACCAGATTCTGAATAATTAATGTATGTTTTATACTGTAACAATATATTGTAAGTAGTTATCAAAATTTACAAGTCGAATCACGAAATTTGCTAGTTAAAAGCACAGCAGTTATTAAGGGCAGAACTGAAGAAGGGTTAACTTCAAGCACCCTTACATGTTGTTTAAGACATCTAAAATTAGTTTTAAAATACTCGTTATAATAATTAGTATAATTAGTAACAATTTGAAATTCCAGTACGGCAGTATCACAATTTGTAAGTCAACTGGCGGCCATGCTCACGATTTTAAATATTGTTTATAGGATTTTAGTAAAAATGTTTTTTCTCACAGAATATAGTAGGAATATAGTAAGTATAATGAATTTTTCCCCTTCTTAAAAAATAGTATTAAGTTAATAACACAAAACTGTAAATACATTTCACCAAGTACACTAGATTATTTTAAAAGTCAACTAATGTGAGCATATTATTTTTTTAAAAAATCTTTTTTAATTAAATTAACTCCGTTGGACCAACATAATGAAATCTAGAAGATATATTTATATTTTATAATGACATGAACGAATAGTTATAATCAATTTCACTGATATTTATATTTTATTTACTAAAAAAAAAAATCTTATACTTTTATACAAATGCAATAAATTAAAAAATTACAAGGACAGTTGAAAATATTAATTAGTTTTTCATTTTGGCAAAATACAAAATTTTTTTGGCCGGGGGGCTTGACTTACAAACTGCGAGAGTGGACTTGCAAAATTCTTGCTAATTATAACGAGTATTTTGACATTATAGTTTGGAAAGTTTCAGACAACATTCAAGGGCTTCTAGAAGTTAGTCCTCTTTAGATTTACCCTTAATAACTCCTTTGTTTTTGCCTAGTAAATTCAGGGATTAGACTTGAATTTTTTTTCTATTTGCATAAAAAATATTAGCACTACCTATTTAGAATATCTTTTAAAAAAGTGTAAGGTCAAACTTTAAGGACGCTCGAAATATGTTTAAATTTAAATAACAGATTCAAGTTGAATGAATTTTTGTGGGTACCTACAGAAAATTTTTTCGCTGCAATATGAAATATTTTTCGTGACTTCATTCAAAATCTTAAGTTTTTTATCATGTGAGATTCCAATTTATGATTGAATATATTTTTCTTTAGTACCTACTAATGTACCAGTTTCTGACAACTTATTGAAGTTTTAACTTTATTTACAGAACTCGTTTAATATTTTCCACTGTAAAATAGAATATTATTTTAATTTTACTTTTAAATATTTAAAATATTATTGAAATCGTAGCCTTACGTTTTATACATTTTGAAAAGGATTTACAGGTAAATATTATTAATGATATATATTTATATTTTTATTATCACTTATATTGTAGTTAAGAATTAATAAATCATATATTTTGAAAGTTACAAGATTCAAATACTTTTAATAAGTAGCATTATTTATACATCAGAATAATTTTTTTGAAGAATAAATAAGTTTTACTTTGAATTGGACAATTAATCATTGACAAAAGTTTTTTTAAATAAAACAAAATCTACCATAGTAATTTAAGTAGTCTCCTGTTTAATAGTGACCTATTTTTTAATCAAGGTGAATTCGGGTTTTTAAAAATTAAATTTAGAGACATTCTAAATATAAACCAGAGCTAGACAGATGATTTTCTTGGAGTATATTCCTACAAAAACAAATATTATGTTTTCTTGTATTCTAGAGTCCAAGCAAAGCAAGCGATTTAGTTTTGTGTTCACAATAGGTATTTTTGAATTGAGCTAAGCAAAATGTACTATATATATTTAATAATGTCTATGGATTTTAAATAGTACTTATACCTAAAAATATAGATGGTTGGTTTTTTGAGTATACATAATATATTTAAAAAATGTTCTATAATAAGTATAGTAAGCTGAACTTTACTTATTATATAATTTTCTCGGAACATTCTAAAAATGGGAAATTGTATTACCTATTGATAGAAAATTAATACACTTCCTCGATATAAGATGGGAAATGTATGACGAATACTCAACACTCAATTATAGATTCTGGTACATTTCATTTCAGTTTTGTTTAATTTCGGCCCACGGTGATTAGTACACTCTTTTTAGTTTTAAGTTTAAACATGTCAACTTAATAACAAGTTAATAATAGAGGACGTGGGTTGTATTATTTATTCAAACATTTCTTAGTTTTCTACCACAATGTAAGTACGTTAATTTTATATTTTATCATTCAAACAGTGTATGTTTATACAATATTATTATACACACAAATAAAAAAGTGACGACCCCGTTCAATATTTGATTGAACACCGTAAAAATAAATAATTATGGACACCAAGAAAAAAAAATAATAAATCACTTTTTGAAACGACCTTCGTGTGTAATATTTTCCGCGTCATATTCGACTAATAAGTAATAAGTGTCATAGTCAATCGAGATCGCAGATTTAAGTGCATAATATAATTACATCGACCGAATTATTGATGGTTATAGATAATTACTTTCCAGTAATAATGAAGTATATCAAACATAAACTGCGCATCGTATGGATAGAAGATCATATAACATAGTACGTCATATAGGTTATAGTTATAACAATTAAATCGAAAAAATAATGTATTACAAAGTACAAACAATTATATCATGTCTGAAAATCATAATCCATAATATTATAGTTGATCTATATACTCATTCGTATTATATATAATTATAGTTTGTCGTCAAAATGGTATTAATCTCGTGTACTTAATGTTATATAGAATATCCCTATAATGCGGCTATATAGTATAATTTTCCTGAGTGTATAATAATAATATATTTTCAACTAACTACAGCATAATAATTGAGACGATAATATATTGTGCGTAATATGCAGAGTTTATGACGTTTGAGTAGTAAAAAAAAATGTAATTGGTACCGTCCAATTATAAAAATATTACATATTATATCTTTGCGCTGAGAATAACATAATTATAACTAGTTTTGTACCTACATATATATATATAATAATATAATATATACTATATAAATATATATATATATATCAAATGTAATGTTAGATACCTTATACCAAGGATATAATATCTACCTCGTTCTGTTGTCTAGTCGACTTTTATTATGCAACTCGTTTTATGTTTATTATTATTATTTTATTATTATTTACCTGCTCGGTCGATTGTTCTTCTATGACCATTTTCATCTCGAGACATTGCCGGGTTTCCAGAAAAGCGGTCCTCTGCTGCTTGTCGGCCAGGAAATAGGACAAAAGTCCCAAACAATTGGACGCCAAAAGGAGAACGCTGTTCGTGGCCAACTGTAAAATAATAATAAAAAAAAACCACACATATAATATCATATAATACACAAACGCACGATATGACAAAAATCGTAAAAAATTAAAATAATGATATTATATATGAAATGAAATCATTGTTATTATCATGCGTTTATATTGCATTGTATCGTGTTTGTGTGTGTGTGTGTGTTTAATACCCGCACAGTTTATGGGTCTATTGTGATATGTAGACGTATACGAGAGACCGTACACCACCCCAGCCGTGCTCATATAATATAATACCATTCGAGGTCCGCAGCTTCTACCGGTTACCGAGGTTACGGGCGTCTGTCGGTCGTCAAATAATAATAATAATAATAATAATAATAATTATTATTATTGTTATTATTATTATAACCTAATATAATAACGGATTATGTACCTCGGCCTCATTAGCTATATACGTCCTGTAAAACACGAGACGCATCGCATAAACAGATACCAGGTATACCTATACTCCTATACCTATTGGAGAGCGTGCGCGCGGATGTGAGCATTAGGTCGACGACAATCGTCATTTCACGGCAAATTATACCGACGAAACAAAACGCGTATCTATTACACGCACACACACACCACCGACGAGACAATGGGATGCATTGAATTACTTATATAATACACACACACACACACACACACCACTCTGATAGGGATTTATGACCGTGTCAAGCGCGCTTTCATTTTATTCCGCAAAAGCCATAAAAACCGTAAATCGATCAATGTCAATCGGCGGAACGACGTCGTCGTCGCGTATACGAAACAATAATAATAATATAGTGTATTGTCGCGAAAACGGTCTACATAAATATATTTCACAGATGGTTATTACCAGCGCGTACACCTCACGCAGGTACATTCGGTTATTAGATTAATATTTTATTGCCCATCGCCTTTATTTTTTTTTTCATCGTCCTCTCACTGTTCGCCGCGGCTCTCTCCCGATAAGCCTTTGATGACATAGAGACCTGCGCCTGACCGGCTGTAAGCTATACATTTTATTACATTCATATGTCATTGTGTACGTATGTACAGTGCCCGAGTTATAATTACCCATTGAGTACCTATTATATAGTATTGTAACGTATATATTAGTATTGTCTGATCTTATTTTCGTAATAAACGAACAAATCGCATTATTTCTCCAGGCTTTCGAATATAGGCAGTATAATAATATATTATTGTGTTGAATTAATCAAGGAGAGGTTCGAATATTATAATATGGACATACTTTATTATGTAATAGGTAGGCCTGTGAGTTGTGAAGTGTATTTTCATAATATCTGTGCACCTACGTATGCATATGGACGATGGACCGTACGGGCATTGTTTTATCCGCACGTAGGTTGTAGGTAGGTTACCATTATTAAGGCATTAAACCGCGGCGAGCATAAATTTTTGAATTATCCAAAAATCGGTTTGAATAATTTAACGTGGGTATTGCACCTATATTTCATAATATAACTGCTTATTACGATTTACGAGCATTATTTATGGAAAAGGAACAGCGTAGGTAATAACGGCAAGAAATACAAAAAGAACCTAGTCGTTGTACAGCTAATTATATGTAAAATATATCTCTTGCACGTGGATGATAATAGAAAAATAAGAAATATACTTATATTATATTATAGGTACCTACGCGTATTAGGTATAACGTAAATAGTAATTTCGTTTTTAAAAATGTGAAAATAAACTCATATTTCACATTCTGAACGAAGAACACGGCGAGGAATAAACGTTTTTTTTTTTTACACATACTATTCTATATGTATAAGGGCAACTATAATTATTATGCCATTGCCATATCCATGTTGTATTTTTTCGACAGTTTCTACGAATTATTTTTTAAACTCATTTTGTTGTAAAATTTAAATATACAACAATGAAAAGCAAATCTGAACAGAAAATGAATTAATAACTCGGTAGGTGTTTAAAGACGGCTAAGCGAAAATTTTCAGAATATAAATGGATATTGTATAGCTCCAAAACGCTGGAGACAAAGTATAACAATAAAGCACATAATCACTGAGCGTTGACACTTGACAATATTACCTGCAAGGAATGAACGGCACATTAATATACCGAGCGACTTCCTTTGGAACCTAAGACCCGACAAATTACAAATTGTCGAAATCCACTGATTTTGGGCTACCTACCTGCAAAATAATTACCTATCAAGAGACGAAAATCGCATTATGCAAATTCACCGCACGACACAATATAATATATTATATTGGTATTACCTAAATTATAACGTACGCCTTAGTGATTATTGTTCAAATAGTTTTCGATTATTTGGAACGAATGAAAGATCTGAACACGAAAGTATAGATATTTTATAATAGTGTTATATATTAGGTATGATTAAAGACCATAGAAGATACTTGTATTAATTAAAATAAATAATGATACTAGAAATATATAGTATCCTCATCTTTATCGATTTGTATTTATTTTATTTTTTTTAATTATTATAAAAATATTATTTTCGGCCAAACATGGAATGATTAATATATATTGTAATACTGAGATATTGAAGTGTTGCGCCTCCCTAAACACTAAACTCAAATTAAACGTTTGGAAGGAATATAAAATTTTCTCGAACAGTGCGAATAAGAGAAAACTAATGGGTTTCGTTTGGTATAATAATATGTAACGCAGAAATATAAAGAAAATACTTGTTACTCGCTTTTCAGGAAAAACAATTACAATATGTCTCCGTGATGGACTACGACTTACGAGTAGGGTAGATTGCACATTTTTTTCTCTTAACAACAGTATTCCTATTTTCATCAATTCGCCATAATATTATGTTTAAAATCCGTTGTTTGGCTTCCCTGTTTAAATTAAATTGCACATTATATAATTATTATAAAATGTCAGGACCTTTACGATTGTACACGAACATTAATTATTACACTTCATTTACATAACAAATTTATTTGGAAACCGAAGCATTGGACATGGGTAATTTTTCTAAAAGCGTTTGGGTCACAATAAATATTATGTGACACATAAATTGCCGTTAGCAATCTTCATCAGTGTGTTTATTGTATATTATACGCGGTTTGTGGTTATAAGTACATAGATATTATGTAGTTAATATTATACCAAGTGTCTATATTAAACGAACTGTGATGTTTTTCGCTTTTTATTATTGTTTTTACCACACGCAGCTCCCACATGAATATGGGTACGTTTTTATATAGATATTTCTTTTTTATAATGACAGTTTTCGAGAGTGCACAAGGTGCAGGTTAGCACAATGTGTAATTTTGTGACAGATTGAAAAAAATAGACACAAATATTGAATGATGGTATTATAACAAGCCTAGAAAAACAAAGTCATTCGACCGATCGTCCATTTTAGATAGGTACGAAAGATTTATTATAAAGAAATAATAATATCAATGAATACGTTTTGACGTTTTGTTTTTAATTCTAAAGCTAAAACAATACTCTTACTACATCGAACATTTTTTTAAATATTATATTTGTACTGTAATTTCTCGTATTTTATGCACATTGATTAGTATTTATTGTGTCATTATGGATAGTACCTACCCATATGAAATGGCCCGGAATCGGATATTTTTAATGGTCAATACTCGAGTGTTCAGTCTAGTGTGGTGTATGCTGTTGCTGTATAAAGGGTTGGTTAGGTATATATTGTTGGAAATCGATAAATAATAAATATAATATAATTGCAAAGTGTTATATTATGACAAATCGATAACGAGATCAGGGATGCATATTATTTTTATATGTTTATTGTACCTATTCAATATGCGGGGGCGTACTGGTATTTACAGATAATTATAATAATGCATTCGTTTATTTAATCATCTATCTTGAAACTTTGTCATGATGATTATTAAATTGAATTAAATATTATCGTAATGAATTGTTCAGTTTATTTTCCAAATACATTTTAGTAGGTATACCAAAAGCTTCATTGACGATCAGATATTCAGACAAAACCTCGCACCTGTTCGATTTTATTGGCTGTAAAATATAATTTTACCCGGAAATAAATTACTAATGCGAATTCGATATTTATATCGGTAACCGATTTCAGATTTTCGTTTAACTCTCGAATATTAATATTGATAAGAAAAAAAATCGTAATAAATATAATAATATAATATAGGTACAATGCGATACGATTGCTAATTCCTATCGTAGGGTCATAGACGGGGTTTTGATGGATTAAATACCAATGACGTATATAAGGTACAGTTTCAAATCGCTGAATATTGTCAGTTTATTGTCTAATAAAATATAAAAGACTACTGAGACTACTGAGCTTTGGAAAGAACAAGTCGACGCGGGATATGTATTCTACATTTCTACGGCAGCTTAATCTTAGACAATAAATCAAAAAGTGTCGTGAAACTGTACGTCTACGAAATACGCTATAAAATATAATATATTATTATATACATTTTATATAGATTATAGGACAACGAATTTATAACATTGTCTCTGAACATAATGAATTTCCTAATAGAAATAATTATAAAATCTCATAATATATCTTACGGTCGTCGCTCATAAGCGGGGCTCGGAACTTAATGCGCTAAAAAACAATGAAATACGTTCATATACGTTATAGTGTTATACCTAATATGCACCAAAACAATATTAAATAAGTGATATATTACAATGCAGTCATTTATTTATTTTTTATAAATTACTCGTTTATTTGGTAACAAACATGGAAAAATGCATAATTATATTCATAAGTTTTAATAATATGTAATAATATAATAGCTATATAGGTGTGTATTAAAGAAAACCTTACTTTTTTAACTAAACTTTAAACATTAGTAAGTACCTACCTATTAAATATATTATTATACAGAATAAAAATAAAATTGAGTCTAAAGTAAGAACCTATTTAAAATACAAATTACCACGGAGGCACTTGCGGGTTCTACATTTTTTAATTAGTTTTTTTTATAATTACATTTTTTTTT